TAAGAGGAGACAGCTTTCCTTTTAACAATTAAGTTCCTGGATTCTTAAGCTCATGGCCCTGAGCTATAGGTGGATGACTATGACCTATAATATGAAATGAAACAGATTTCAGGGCTCTCCTCACCCCCAAAGGGGAGGCACCATGGAAGTACTAAAAGCAGAGCACGAAGCAGAGGATTTGAGTGCTTTACTGTGGTCAGCATCCCAGCCCTGACTATCACGTACTGCATCTCCAACCACTCCTGCTTGCTCCCCACTCTAGGCTGTGACCCCAGCGTGAGTGACAGGAGTGGGGAGAGGTGTTCAGAAGATTAAAGGCCCAAGTCACCAGAGGCTGCCATCTCGCAAGAACATTTAGACGTTTTCCACTTGGCAGTCATTAATATTCTCCAGCAAACGATGAGCAGGAAACCTGTTCAAAAAGGTTCCCTCTTCAGATCTTGGTACCTTGGAAGATGAAGTGAATGTTAGGGTTTTGTTTTGAAATGAAATATTCATTGGCGTGGGTTAGAGCCATTACCGTTCTTGAGAATAAAACTGAATTTTTCCTTTGTTTGAAAACAGTGACAGTCAGGGTTTCCCTACTGCATCAGTCAGGGTAACGCATGGTTTGATTCTTGTAATAGAGTAGTCACTACTTAGAAATGAATACAGAAAGACTCCAAGGATTTCATAGCTGGTGCCTGGGCATTTCGACATCACAGAAATCCTGAAGCTAGAACAGCCGTGGACTAGAGGAGAGACTTGGGAATCGAATCCTGGGTACCCTGCCAGTCTCTGGGTGAGCTCTTTGGCTCTATTAATTGATAGCCGCTCCATAACATCGCTGACTTCCAGTTTCCTAGCCTGTAAAGTGGGGACCACATTCTTTCTTCCCGCGGGTTGCATAAAGATTTAGAGACAGGAGCTGGAAAATGGGTGACACAGAGTAGGAACATAAGAATGGCAGCCATCATTCATATTTTAACAGTAATACTGAGAACTGGTCACTAAATGGCTTAAAAGCCATTTAGATCTTTTTCTTTTTAATCTGTCAGGCACTGTTGCTCGCATTTGCCTTGAATTGAAACACCCTTTAAAAGCTTTCAAAGCTTTGAAGGTTGATTTCAATGAAATCAGTTTTTATTCTAGGCGTTTTTCCTACTGTCATTCTCAGTAAAACAAAAAAACATTTACTGTCAAAACAGTAAGGGCTTGCTCTCAAGCACAAAATGAAAGCAGATATGTCTGCCTGATTTATTTTGGCATCCGTCTAGCAGTTAAATAGGACACCTTTTAATTTGTCACTTCTTTAAGATTCATTTAGATTGGAAAAGTAAATCACCAGTGCTTGGGTTCAGCTAACTTTGAACTATTTGGATGAAAAGGCATATTCTCTACCTCTCAGACAGGTACCTTGTAAAAGGCCAGTTAAAGAATAAACTATGTATTCAGCAACATACTTAAGATGGTAACATTTAATGGATTTTTATTTTTACTTTAAACTGGAGGAACTCAGAAATCTAACTTATTACCAAAGAATAACTAGAGGTCTTGAAAAGAAAGTCAATGCTGTCAACAAGTTTACGCAGAACTATTTTTAAAAAAGTAACTATTGGTTTACAATTAAAAACAACTATGAGTAAAGAGACTCAAAAGTCAAATCTCAAATCTACCATTTTCTGACTGTGGAAGTTATTCAATCTCTCTGTGTCTTTTTTAATCTAGAAGTGGGGAATATATCTACCCATTTGTTAAGTAAGTTAACTGAGGCAATGGACAAAAACCTTATAGCACCTACTGGGCACATAATTGTGAGCCACTGTTGGTATCCACAAGTGCTTGTGTAACATTTTCTAGCAATTTGATCCAGGAGTGAGCATTTCTTACTGTATGAAAGTTGTATCTTCTCTTTGCCCCAAATTTATTTTGGGAATTTAAGCCCATTCCCTCATTGTCTCAATGTGGCAATAACATCTGTTTAATACTTTCTGTATAATGAGGCCGCATGAGGGCACGTGTGCCTGCAGTCACATAAACAGTCCTAAACAGAGGTGTTTTTTTTGGCATGTCAGTGATCTAACTGCAATCTTTAATCTGGCTGATTATTAGATAAACGAATTTAGTTATAAAATGAAATAAGAATCTCACCCATATACACACGTACGTACACATACACGCATAAATATACATATGCACACATACACATTTTCTGTTCTTTAATACACAACCAAGTCAAGGGCCAGCTCCAATCCTTAGTTTTGTCTTACGCTGTCTCATGTTTTTTGATGTGGAGGCTATGGGGGAATGTGAAGGAAGATAAATGCTTCCTCTGAGGGTCTCTTAAAGCAGGCGACCTCACACTGAACTGTGCAAACTCTTTGAGGGTGTAGATGAACCTTGGTTTTCAAACCAAGAGTTTATCAGGCTTTTCTTTCTTTTTTTTTTTTTTTTTCTTTTTGAGGGTGAAACACAACTCAGAGACCTAGTCACGGGGTCTTGTCCAATTTTGGAAGTCCAGTGCTACATGGAGTCCAAACACCACCCCATGCAGGGTGTGTCTTTTCTGACTACACACTCCTCTTTCTTCGCTGTGACTGCTTCTCCAAGCATGCAAGTGCCTGCAGTCAAGTGAGGATGAGCTGATCTAACTCCTCAATGAAGCTTGCTTTCTCTTCCTGTCAGGAAAACAGAGGCCTTTCCCTGCTCAGATGGACGCTTACATAGAAGCAATTCTGTCTTGCAGTCCTTCGCCTGAGCATCCAGTAGAAACTTGTAGAACAAAACCAGGCTAAGCTGTTGTTCTCAAACATGTTTATTTGTTAACAGTTATACATGGTGTGTTACAGAAATTAATGGAAAATTTCTAAAAATTTCACTGTTGCTGAATGTATTGTACATAAAGTTAAAAATAATGTGTCCATATATGTTAACAAACTGTCATCTGAGGTAAAGTTAAAGTAGGTCTAGAAATGTACTGAAACAGTCACTTTCTCTTTCTCATCTTTATTAAAAAAATATGTGTCAGAATGCGGAAATTGAAATAAACCAAACCCACAGAGTAAACATTTTTTTTAAAAGAAGGTGCCCGGTACATGATGGGATGGGGTTTCAGCAGACACTGGGATGAGGACGGATTATGAAAAAAGTCTGGCGGCATGGAAAGATTGTAGAGCTACAGGGCATGGGGATAGAAGGACAGGTGGCGTTTCCCTGGTTTCAAAATTTAAAGTGACAAATTTAGTGCTAGTGAAGGATGAGGAATTAACAGTTGTACACACGGGTTTTCTATCGGTCTAACCGGAACCGGGCGGTCTCTCCAGAGCCTTTTGGTTTTGGTCCCTCGGCTCTTGTTTGGAAATTCCACTGTACTCCTGGGACAGGATATGATGGTTCTGAGCTCATCAACCAGTGCTTGTTAATAATCAGAATCCTGCCAGTGATCACATGGATGGCAGTTTAAAATCTTGCCTTTATTTCCCTCACTATAATGCAACACATGGGCCTCTTTGTTAAGTCCAGAGCCAGTTACACTTTCGGTCACATTTAGTGAATGATGACAGGTTCACTGGGCTGTCACGTCCTGCTATGAAATGAACTCCAGAAGGTGTAGCTGAAGTGGCAACATTGGCCAGCATTCGCTTTGAGCCCGTCACAAGGAACCCAAAGCATCAGTGTAATGGTGTGGCCCTGTAGACAGACCCAAGACAGCTGTGCTGAGGGGGAAGATATAGCACCACTTGTTAGAATCAGAATCACGGACAAAGAGCAATTTAAGCCATTTCCCCCATGTGAACTACCTATTGTATCAAATCCCCAGGGAACAGAATCGAACCGGTTTTAGGACGACTCTCATGGTCATCACACCTTTCCTATTTTCCTCGTTGTGTGAAAGGATTATTTAATTATAAAACGGATGTGCATTCCTGGAGAAATCATGTGGACTGAGAGGTGACAGCTACAGAGAAGGGTAAATGGCCCTTCTCACTCTTCTGGTTCTTTGGACTTTCCCCATTAGGATGACACTGACATATATTCTGTAAAGACATTTGGTCAGTTTACCTAACCGGGAGAAAATTCCATTCCAGTGACCTGTCAGTGTAAAATTTGGGCCTCAAACAGTAACAATTACCCTGATTTTCAATTTTCTCTTTGTGAGCCAAGTATTACCTTCTTTCAAATCACTTTCATTTCTGTTGATATGAAGAACCAAGGTACACAGGCCTGGTGAAGTCAATCATATCAATGTCAATTCTAGTTTCCAAGTTTTAAAACCAAGTGATGATAGTTAACCCCATGGTCCTCGAAAGTTTTCTCCTTAGCGTTAAACCACTAAATTCTACATACTGGCACTGCATAGGAACATCGGGAAAACACACTTGACCTGTAGAACAATTCTCTGTAGGGCAAAAATAGAGAGATTCTTTATGAAAATCATGTGCTAAACATATGAACCGACCACCGCACTTTTTGTCTCATCAATGTAAAAAAAAGGAAGCTTAAACTCTTCTGTTTCACATACAAACAGTCCAATGATCTCTATGGGGGTAGGTGGGAGTGAAGAGATGGGAGGGAGTTTCAGAATTTGAAGGACACCCCTTCAAAATGTGAACGTTTTCTGGTTTCTTCCACCCAGGGTGGGTTCTCTTGTGGAAGGGCTGGAGGAGATGGTGGCGGGGGGGGGGGGGCACCTGTTCCCTTCCTGTTCACTAGCTGCGGATTGGCCAACTGCTCCTGACAGCTGCCCCTGAACTCCAGCTTTCTCCCATCTGCTCTACAATAACATCTGGAGAGGGAGCCCCATCCATCAAGTCTGTCACATCCTGCACTCAATCTGCTACCTTCTCTACAGTGTAATGGCATTATTAAAAAGCATTTTCATTAACATTTATATTTACAAAAAAACAACAACTGGCATTTTTTTTCATTAGAACTCCTTAAAGCCATTTCCCTTAAATATTTAAAGAGTTTAATGGTAAGGTTTTTTTTTTTTTTTCAAGTTATAAAATAAAAATCCCATTTGAATTTTCTGATGTACAAAAAGAGATACAGATGAACCATTGTGATCTCGGAATCAGTTTGTTATTCTGAATATTCATGTCACCATTGTTCCATTAGAAAGTTGGTTTTAAGATCCAAAACCACATTAACAGGATTGTACCAGAATTATTTGGCAAATGACTTTTCTTTGAAAATGGCACGTGGAGAAGACACTTGTCTGCATAGCATCACAGCAGCAAGATATCGGAAAAATAAAAAATATCATTTTATTGTACTTAGAGTTTACAGCTTCTTAGAAAACCAGATGCATTTTTCATCTTTCTTATCAATGGGATCCGATGTCCTTTCCTACTCGCAGAATGAAGATTCGAACCAAAAGCTGTCTTTCTTCACCAGGGTGCAGAATAGCTGAAGGGTTGTTTTGGCAACATTCTTGATCATAATCAACCACTTATCTGTCTTGTGATTTTCAAGTTAATTCATTTCATATGAGGCTTTCCTTTTCCAGTTAGATTTCCTCACCCATATCTAAAAAAAAGTCAAAAGCAATACAAAAATCTTTACACCCATTAATTTTTAAACATGACAAAGGAAAGGGGACAAAATGGCAGACGAGGCCCTGTGGAGCGATGAAAAGACATCATCATACGTCAAAAGGCATAAGGATGAGGATACTGTCGTCACGAGGACATCTTGCTCGTGTCTAAGAGAAGTCAGTGCCAACCCTGCTGTCGTTCTCTGAGGCCTGTAACCCCACATTTGATGTCTTTATTGTGGCCAACAGTTGAGAAATAAAGAGAGAGTTATGATTTTGCATCCTGGGTCATCTTAAACCCATGCTAACAGAGCTCAGAGTATTTGTCGGGTAAGCATTTGCTTGATTTGTGACTTAATGCTGGGTATGATTTTTTTATACTTTTGTGATTTTTTTTGTGCTGCCATAGTTATCTGCCATTGTTGCCAAAAACTCTTAGTTCCCTTTTCCAAATGAGTTCTGTTGGGCAGTCATTAATTTCTTCGTGGGATGAGGTGAGGTGAAAGAATACAAGAGAGCCCATCACGATGCCGATTTCCATGCCAGTCTTGAAGCACCTGCCATGAGCCCACACTGATGCTATTTCTTGGGTCTGTTGATCTGCGCATAGAGAGGCTCCAGCTCCTAAGGACAGAGGGACAAAGTGAGACCTGCTCTTTTCCAGATAGGGTTTCCTGAGGCAGCTTGGGAAGGAGGGGTTGGGATTAGAACAGAGAGATGACAGTTGATGATGGATGACCTTAGGTAATTTTTGGCTTATCTGATCATGATGCATGTCATTTTGGCAACTTTTTTCATCATTAAGAATAACTACTCACCCAGGTCTGTACTTGTTTTCAAGCCGAGACTGGTTTCCCACTCAGGGGAAAAGGATGGTGTAGCAGAGAGAGCTGGACAAGCTGTGTGATGTGGGTAAGATACTTATTCTTTCTGAGCCTCAGTTTTCCCAACCATTAAATGGTAATAATACTGTTTATCCTACAGGGTTCCTGAGAGAGTTTGAGATAATCTATATATAAAGCATCTAGCACAGTGCTTGGCAGTAAGAGGTCTTCAGAAAATGGAAACAATCATCACAAGTTGAGTGGAAATTCTTCCAACATAGTTTTATGAATGTCTACTTGAAACCACTGAAGTTCTAGTTCAAGCTGTCTTTGGTTTCTGCAGGCAGAGAGGGCTGAGCACACTTCTGAGGAAGCGAAACAGCCATTATTATGCCTTTAGCTCTTAGTTCAGAGCTTCTGGGACTTGTTTCCATTAAATCTCCTGTTTCGGGATTGGCCAGTCATTTGCCTACACCCTGGAACTGGCTGTTGTGAGGCACACACAGGGATTTTTACCAGTATATGACAAGGCAAACCTTCAGTCCAAAGGTATATGGGAAATGGTGTTTAGCCCTGTTGATACTACTTCCGACTTCACGTTGAGATGGCCCAGGGTGCACTGGCCTGGCAGATCAGATCAAGGCTCTGGTCTTAGGCATACATAGGCCCTTCCTTTACAATTGACCTTTTGCTGTCACTGTTGGATATCTATGCCAGAATTAAAAGGAAACAGTGACATCTTAATTCTGTCATATTTTTATATTAGCCTGGCTGTTGCCACGTGAGTACAGATCCCTTTTATTTGCCTTATTTTCTTAAATCATCAGATCGAACCGATATTCTGTGAGCCCTGGCTACATGTCTGGCACCATGCTAGGTGTCTTTAAGTACATTGTCTTTTTAACACATCACAACAGTCTTGTAAAGCAGATGTTTTGTCTCCTTTGCAAATGGGAAATCATGTACAAAGAAGTAAAGCAATTTTTCCATGCTCCTATAGCTAGTGAAGTTTGGAACATGAGCGTCCAGAGCTTTATCTAGGCAACTACAACAATTGCCATGAAAGAAAGAAAAGACCAATCCTTCAATCTGTAGTACTGTAGAGTGCTTCGGGGTTTACAAAGCACCCTCCCATCTTATTTTATCTGCAAAACAGTCCTAGGAGTGGCTTTTGTTCTTTCCATCTCATTTTGTAGATAAAAACTGAAGGTCAGAGAAGTGTGGTGATCTCAAGGTCATAGTGCTGCACCTCATGCATTTAAAAGATCATATTGCTTACTTTTATTGTACAGTGGGAATGGACTTGGACATAATTTTATCCAGATCCATCATTTTACAGGTGAAGACTGTGAAGCCTAAAGAAGGGAGCTTTTGTTTCCCAGAATGGCAAAGTTACTTAGAAACCATGTCCTAAACTGAATCCAGGACTCCTGCTGTCAAATCCAAGATGCCTTCTTCTGGACCTCATTATGTCTTCTTTCAGAGAAAAGCATCTGCCTACCCTTTGAGACCCCCTATTCTGTAGCAGAAGAGGATACCAATTTGTCCCTCCATGTTTTCCATACATGGGACTTTATATTGCCCCTAGAAACATACAGAATGAATGTAATCCTTCTCCCAAATGTCTGATGACAGAAAACATGGAAGCGCATTATTCCATATCCTACCTCTGGGTTACTGCTTGCCAAATCCTCCTGCCATTTTACATGTGTGGACCTAGCACAGCAGGTGCTCAACGAATGAATTTGTGGGATTAATGAATGACTATGATACAGTTTCTATTTTCTTCACTGTTCTGTCACTCTGTCCTAAATACACTCTAGTTTGGCTTCATTCTCTCAAAATCGAATCTAGGAGAATCTATAGCAAGATGCTTTGTTATGCACCTAATCTCTTCCTTACCAATACCTTGAAATGTTTCATATACCTATTGCAAGGCTAATCATGTAACTTTGCTGTGTTTGTATTCTGGGGGTGGGCTGGGTGGAGCAAAGGTAGAAGAAGGGAAGTCAAGTACAAGTTCTGGTGGGGAAAAAAACAAAACAAAACGCGTTCTCCTGTCTGTGCTGGGCTACAGGACGTATCTTCATCTTTCCCGGGTAGAACTGCTCAGCCCACTCTTCTTTTCGGAAACCCTAAGAACTCAGGCCGCCTTGATCTCAGCCTACAATTTGCTCTATTCTAATTTTGGAAACTAATTTATTCAACAGAGAATGACACCTAAAAACAGAAGAAGACAGCAGGCTCAGACAGGGTAATTAATGCCACACTGCATTAACTTTCTGCAGCTGAGATAAATATTCACACATCTCCTGCTTGCCGGAATTTAGTTTCAAATACCCATCACAACAGCGGTAAGGACTGCAGTCAACTCTCAATTATCCCCAATAATGAAGGGGAGCAGTGGTGTGGAAAACCCCAAGCAGCAGATAATCCCTAAGTCTGACACTGTGATGCATTATACGTTTTGGCAATAGCTTTACCTTCCCTGTTACAGAATCTTAGACTGTCAGAGCTGGAGGGGAGTAAGAAATCATTTGATCCAGAAATTTCCAACCTGGCTTCTGGCAAGGTCATGATGGGGGTCTTCAGGCTATTTTCAATATTCCAAAAGCCTAAATGGAATCGTACATTAACATAGCACACTGTTGATATTTTTTGTTTTCTTTTTGGTAGATTTGACCACATCTCTGCCCTCCTTCAAAGGCTCCCCATCACCCACAGGGTAAGGTCAAAGCTTCTTACCTGGGCACACAAGACCCATTTGTTTCATAGTCCATTAGAGCTAATAAATGTTCCTTCCAGATCGTGAATCAAAACCCAACTTTCAGGTCACGTAAATCATGTTTGTTTGTTTTTTTAAATGTCTTTATGCCTCTGCCAGAATGATCTTTCTGATTTGGTCATGTCATTCTTTTGCTCAAAACAATCTTCCTGACTCCTTATTACCGCAAGGAAAACAAACCCCTCAGAATGGCACCCTTCCAATAAGGCTCCACCTTCCAGCCTCATCTATTTCCATTCTCTCTCCTATGCCTCACCTTCTGCTCTTCTTCTGGTCACCCTGGTCACTTGACGGGATTTCCCCATCTCTGAGGCTCTGCTCAGGCAGTTTCTCCTGCCACTGGTGCCTCTCTTTGTCCTACAATGAGAGTTCCTAATTCAGACCCAGCTCCAGGAGAAAGACTTCCTGGACTCTGCAGGTGATGTGGACCACTCTGCTCCCACTCAGAATTTGGGGACAGTGGAGCTGACTGTGTAGAACATACTAGAAGATAACAAGATGCAGTTTGGACAGAGGTCTATACAAGAAGCAGTAGAGGTCTAGGACTGGAGGACTCTGTGCAGGACACTTTACCCCTCTGATTTCCAGTTTCTTCATTTGTAAAATGAGCCTAGAAATTCTCTCTGTGAGAGGTGTGGTGAGGATCGAAGAAGAAAATATACACTGATTATCTAGCACAAAGCCTGACACACAGGAGATACCAAAAAGGTGAGGTCCCTCATGTCTGCATGTGTGGTTCTATCCCTCCTTTGCAGAAGGTAGTTCTAAGCTTCACAATCGCTTGTAGGTGGCTTCTCCTTCATAGTACACAGGAGCAAGTATAACCAGTCTCTGTTAGGAAATCTAATAATGACGCTGGACTAGCCCAGGGAAATTGTGTAGAAAGAATGTGGGGTTAAATCTATGGGACCTGGGGGGCACCTAGGTGGCTTAGTCGGTTAAGCGTCCAACTTTCGCTTATATCATGATCTCGCAGTTTGTGGGTTCGAGCCCTGCGTCGGGCTCTGTGCTGACTGCCAGCTCAGAGTCTGGAGGCTGTTTCAGTCTGTGACTCCCTCTCTTTCTGACCCTCCCCTGCTCACGCTGTCTCTCTCTCTCTCTCCTAGAAATAAATAAAACATTAAAAAAAAAATCTATAGGACCTGGGCACAGGGCCCTCTGGATAAGATACTTCCACATGTTTACAGACTATGCCCAGTATGAATTATGTGTTTACAGTAGCCATGGAGAATCACAGAATTAGGATTAATAAGAGCTTATGTTTCCAGAAACATTTACAGTCTGTAAGGACTTTCTTAGCTCACATACATGATCTCACTTGGGCTTCACAGTGAGGCTGTACCTTGGATACTCTTATCTCTACTTATAGTGAAGAAGCAAGCCAAGGAGGTGACCTTGGCTACTTGCCCAAGGTCATTCAGTCAGCACAGGGCAGAGATGGGATATAACGAGTTTAGTTAGTTAGCTTGTTTTTTTAGCTTTTTTAAAAAATTGCAATAATATATGTATAGCATAGCATTTGCCATCTGAATCATTTTTAAGTGTCCAATTCAGCGGCATTAATTATGCCCACAATGTTGTACAACTCTGTCATCACCCCAAACAGACTGACCCATTAAGCAGTAACTAACTCCCCATTCTCCATAGCCCCAACCCCTCGGAACCTCTAATCTGCTCCCTGTTTCTTTTTTTTTTTTTTTTTTTAATTTTTATTTATTTCTAGGAGATAGCGTGAACAGGGGAGGGTCAGAGAGAGAGGGAGACACAGACTCTGAAACAGGCTCCAGGCTCTGAGCTGGCAGTCAGCACAGAGCCCGATGCGGGGCTCGAACCCACGATCCGTGAGATCATGACCTAAGCGAAAGTCGGACGCTCAACCGACTAAGCCATCCAGGCGCCCCTCTGCTCCCTGTTTCTGCAAATTCATCTACTCTCATCTTAAAATCAACCTTATTGAGGTGTAGTTTGCATATAATGAAATGTTCTTGTTTTAAGTGTACAGTTTGAGGAGTCCA